CTTGGAGTTCCTTGAGCTTTGACGTGACAATCTAGTCAATAACTAATTAGTATAAGTAATCTTAATTTTATATTAGACGCTGCTTATCAAATGATGTATAACTTTTCAACACAAATTAGTTATATATCATTGCAAATAAAAAATGTCTCATTCCACAATCCCAAACTTACCGGTAAACCATTTTCAAGTTGTAATAAAACCATTTTACGAACCGTGTAAGGCGTGCTAAATGCCATCAAGCTTGTCCAGTCGGTAGAAAAACTGCAATTTCGGCAAGCTTCAAAACCGGGTTAGGTACCCGAAACACGGCTGTCTGGCCGAAGTAATTACGGGGTAAATAACTTTCTACTTAATGTTATGTTCATCTGACATTACATTCCACGCTTTAAGATATTGTATGTATTCTTTTCTTGCTGTTTTGTTTGCTCAAGCGACCAGATACAATGCAATAAATACATTTTTAAATTAAAATTGTATTCAACAGATTTAGTTACTTATTGTTATCACTCTAAACATTGTGTAGACAATCCAAAATTTGTATGCAATTTGCATTTCTCTGAACAATTCACAAAAGAAACGTTTTTATCTCAGAATTAAACTTGACCTACTAATCTTGATACTTGCGATAAAAACAATCTATTTTTTTCTCATTTGTCGATGTTACTTTATGTTGTTTTGCTATAGACCATGCAAATTAGCGTTATAAAAATAAATGGCGACTGGCATGGTCTATTTCTGTTTGTCTTAACAAGATAAACGGCTTGTTAGCATAACACGTGCTTTTGCAGCGCACTTTTTTATTTACCATGATTGATCAATCGAGTTCATTCGATAATCGCCGGATAGAAGCATTAAATCAATTGTGGTAGCTTTTTTCCTATACCTACATCTATTGGGCAGGTTTTTTTTTGGGGGGAAATCATCGAATGGACTGCTCCCGCCTGTATGAGGCGGGAGGGAGTGTCAGACTCTTACTGACTAAAAACCACCCCGTTCCTTCTTCTGAACGTCGAGCCGGAGCCCCGATAACCCGTTAGGTTCTCCGCGACATTGGGCAGGTTTAATGACCAGTTTTTAGACACAAATATGTATTGTAATTGAGCTGTCAATGTGTTTATAATTTCAGTGATTAATGGTTTAGCAAACCATTCTTAAACGTTCCAATCCAATGTCACCCTTCTGTGTCATTTAAAAAACGCATGTTGACGCCTCACATCTTTAGCGCATCTATCTAGTAGAAGAGATACGGTCATGTCTTTCTTAACGCTTCTTAGAATGTGTAGTTATAAAACAGCTATTAACTCGTCGAGTACCGGTTTTATAGACACAAAGAACAATAGGTCGCGGTCACCGGTGACCGCTTGGTGTTTGACAGTTTAAATATAAGTGCAACATATTGATTCGATTCCGTCTGGTAGCCATGGTGACGGACCGTTGTAGGTGTTACCTATCGTTCTTAGGTCCTCCTTCATTTATTGATCGATTACTTGTACGTTACCTGTAGTAGGTAACAGTAGACACGCCTAACTGGAGTAAATCTAAATATCATCCTTAATGTAAACGACCATTGGGTACTTCTGCTATGAACAATGGATTTATCTTTTATATTACAATGTCTTTCAGTATTATATGGCAATTAATATTGTGCGTCGAGGTGATTTAATTGTACCGGTTATACAGATTGGGGGGAATAAAAGAGCTATGTCAATGTACTTGGAGAACTTAACGGGTTGCCGTGGCTCCGGCTCGAAGTGCAAGAGTAGGATTAGGGTGGTTTTTAGTTAGTAAGAGTCTGACACTCCCACTCGCCTCACCCAGGCGGGAGCAGTCATTCGATGTCTTATATTAAATAAGGTTTCCACATTAAAAAGATGTCGGTTAGTTCGCAATCATTGTGAGTGACTACTATATTTGCACGCCATTGTTTACGGCAGACATGTCTCGAACTTTTTTCACTGCTACCCGCTATCTTACATGCCATTGTTTATTGAGCAAATAAATATGATTTGATTTGGTGATTTTTCCTACTTTAAAATAAAGTACTTATTAGTACTTTATTTTAAACTATAAATAAATTGATTATGTATAAAATGAGTGTAATAAATTGTATACTCAAGCACACTCAGAGAACATGTTAGTACGTGCTCATGTTTACTATATTACATAATAGCTGTGGAACTGCACTGGCATTGATTATCAGCGTACAGCCACAAAGTAGATTATTACAGTAGGTTTACTAGGTTAGTCATAAATCCAACCAGCTAATCACAATGCCCTCGTAGGCAGCTGCAAAATGTGTCACAAAGTTGTAAACATTATTAACTTTTCTTCATAGCCGTAACTTAAATGTAGCGATTGTTTATGTACTTAAATTTGTGTTATTAGATGTATTGACAGCAAAATATTGACAATACCATGTGTAAAGTTGATTAGATATAACCAAGAATTTGGAAGGCAGAACATTACTCTATAGAAACCACAAACATTCAACTAAATGTGGTTAGGCCTTACTGCCTTCTGACAGTCCCTTTCGAACTTAAACTAAAAAGCATTTATTTCAATTAAACCATAATTTGGTACTTTTGAAACGTCAACAAAAATACAAAATAATTAATAGTCTGTCAGCTCGTTCCAAAAGTAGATTCGAGTGGAGAAGAACGAGCTAGAAACTCCATTCGTTATTCTCGACCTCCCCAGGCGCGGCTGCTCCATGAGGATTTACCACCTTGGGTAATAAAGGTCTTACTACCAACGAAATAGCCAGGAAATTGTTATTTAGAATTTGGAAATATCTCGCCTTCTGCCTTATTTTCGCAGTAAGCACTTTGACCCATCTGCAACGTAGTACATACTTTGTATCAGCTATTACTAAATTACATCGCATGCGCTCGTGCGATGTGCTTGACCGTAAGACGTCGGATGCACACTGCACTCAATTGATTATCACACTTTGTGCCATGTTAGGAGGCAATTTTCCTATTAACTGTCTTATTTATACCATCTTTTAAACTCATCTTACTCTAGTGTTGACAAATGGCTTCTGTACAATAATATTTTGAACTTTACCAGCTGTGTTCTGACTCGACTTTGTGTACATGTAGAATAAGTGTGTAAATGTGTGTACTAGATATGTAGACATAATAAAATACGTGTCCAATCATACGCAAGTAACGTAAGCTCACAGTATTATCAGAAAATTGTTTTCTTTAGTCATTTTGCTAGCAAACTTGCATAACTTATGATAAACAGTTGTTTCTTACTGTTCCTAAATAACTGCAAGAAGTACTAAAATTAATTCTTGACCTTAATTTTAATATAGTAAGGTTTAATTTAATTACAAAGCATTTTTTCACAAAGATACTCTGATAAAGATAGTAAAAATCACACGAAGACGGGTCAATGATGAATGTTGACCTCAGCCCGGTATCTGTATAGTCTGTAGTACATTCGTTCTTGGAAATAAAAACTATTTTATCTCCCACCTTATCATTGTTTTAATAAGGAAATATTATAATGAAATATGTTACACTTTACTATTATTAAATGTTGGATAGCAACAATCTGAAGTCAAATGTTGACATATAGTGTCAATGCGTTTATTTTTAATGTCAACTATCGAAATGATTCAATCCTCGTACACTTTGTGATGTTCTCACGACGTTGATTTGATGAATTAAGTACTGCTTTTTTTAACTCGTCGAGTACCGTATTTATAGACACAATTAAAGAACAATAGGTTGCGGTCACCGGTGATCGCTTGGTGTTTGACAGTTTAAAACAGTGGTACAATTATTGGAATGAAAATATGAGTTCTAACCTAATTAAAATAATTGTAAGAACAAATACAACCATTTCCGTTAAAATAGTGTTAGAAGAATTGGTGTACCTACATTATTCTGTTCTGTGTTTTGTACAAATTATTCGAATTGACAAAAATTACAAGCATACCCTACATTGGAACAAGAAGAATCATAAAGATAAATAAATGTCCCAAATTACACTAACTATTAAAACATACCTAAGATTAAGTTATCTATGTAACCAATTGGTTAATAATTAAATAAAAACTAATGCGTATTCGTTTATTTCTTGAACTGATATAATAATAGCTGCTACTATCTAAATTATCTTAAAAAGGTGGCCAGGGGCTAGGGTCATCACATTTATCATTTGAGGAATGAAGACAAATTTTAATTTCTACTCGTTATTGAAATGCGCATAAAAGAAAACTGTAGCAGAACCATTTTAGGTTAAGGTTATCATGTCTGCACTGCTAAACACAGACCTCATCAGGAGGGTGAATCAGTGAATGCTACCTTGCTTTATATCTTCGTGTTTGGGGCAGATCACTAGAGGCACAGATACAAAAAATAATTCATAGATGCATGTGTCCGCGTGCGGGTCCAATGTTGTGTAATGTTATCTGAAACGATTCCATATTAGGCATTAAAACTTAGGTTACCTACTTACAGGGGAATATAACTATTTTGTACCCCATTATTTCCTTTACCTAAATCTTTATTATTATTTTATTATTTCCTTGTGATGACCCTAATCCGGCTAGAACTAGTTGCACTGATTAATTTCTGTGTTAATAGTCTGGTGTACTAAATACTAAATATAGGCACATTAGGATAACGCAGTTGTATTGTATTGTAACATATTAACTAAAGATACCACGATTTTAATGACTATGCCACTTTAACTTATCATGGTGAGACCACAAGTACCTTCCTACAAAATACAACAAACAAATAGGTACAAATTGTAGTTTGTGACTTTTTTGAAGAGCCTTTTATTTGCTTTCAATCGGATATAGACTGAACAATTCTCAAAAGATCGAAGCGTATCGTAACACATAACACTTCCTTGATTGTTTTTCATTCAGGATTTATTAGGACTACCAAAAATAATTACATTGTCTTATAACCTTTGCAACCGTTTGTCTCCTATTTTTTCTAGCAATACCTTACTGATGTTCCTTTTTCTATCTTCTCCAGCGAGAGCAGCATGTTTGTGTCGCGCCGCCGTTTTATCCTGAAGACCTGTGGCACGACCACGCCCCTACGCTGCGTGCACGCAGTGCTGGGGCTGGCATACGACGTAGCCGGACATGCGCGCGTGCACAACGTGTTCTACTCGCGTAGGGAATTTGCACGCCCAGCTGCTCAACTGCAGCCTCATGATAACTTTGATTCAGAGGTAAGTTGTTATTTTATTACTGCTACAAGCCACATACATAGCCTTTTTGCCACACACGGACAGGTAGAAATTACAGAGCGCCACCTGTTAAGATCTTTACACTTATGCAGCTTCCACTTCTTCAAATATTCGTCTCCAAATTAGCGGATCTTGTTCAGTGTCCTTAGATTATAATCCTTAGATTTTTCATCCTTTCATTTCAAAAACATAAACGTTTTTGGGCATCTCTGACTTATATTCTATCCCAAGACATAAGTACCCGTCGCGGAGAACCTGACGGGTAACCGGGGCTCCGGCTCGACGTGCAGGAGAAGGAACGGGGTGGTTTTTAGTCAGTAAGAGTCTGACAATTCCTCCGGCCTCACCCAGGCGGGAGCAGTCATTCGATGATTTTCCCCACTTAAAAAAAAGACATAAGTACCCACTGTTATCAACTGATACTAGGAGCTCCTAGGAGTAGGTACTCCTACATTATTATGGTCCTCTACAAGATCGTTAAACATCTTATCTAGCACTTAACGTAACAAGTCAATAAACTAATCCAACTTGAGTCGAGTCGCTTCACTCGCTTCACTGAAGCGGTCAATCGATCAATATAACCCATAATAAACTTGCAACATGCTCCGATGCCTATTTAATATATGTACCTACACATTTTCAGCAATAAACAAACTCACCTTTTGCGCTTTAAAGTTAATCAACCATATAGTTTGGGTCTTAAAATCTCTCAAGCTGGTTAATTTTAAAGACCTTTTGGTTATTTTAAGTGTGGTATTGATTTTAAGAGGGTATTTAATCTTGTTTTAGTCGAAATGTCTGTCGGTCTGAGGATAGAATTGGTAAATCTCCGGTCGAGTAAAAGGGTTTTTCGTTTCGTAAGTCTATCTTGTCATATAGGACTTTATCAATACCTCTCATTCTTCTAGCTTGATATATACATCATCTTAAGGGGTCTTCATCTTAACTCGTTGAGCACCGTCATTATAGACACAATTAAAGAACAATAGGTTGCGGTCACCGGTGACCGCTCGGTGTTTGACAGTTTAATTCTTCTGTAAACTTAATGAATTACCATACAATCAATGTAAAAATCGTGTTAGATTAAGATTAATTATTGATTTCGGCCGATGAAATCGCTACACAATCGTCAATAAAACATTTTCGTCCTAGCCAGACTTGTAGTGAGTCATGAAGCTACAAAAAGATTAATACAGACTAATAAAAAATCTGATCAGGATTGCTTTTTAATTTCTCCAATGAATTTCTAATAATCATGTATACAAATGTCTATAGTATTGCAATTTCGTCCCAGCCAGAGTCATGAGTCATAAGCTACAAATTATGAAACAAAACACATCAATTAATATTATCATCACCTACGATGTGGCGATACGAATGAATGACAGCGACACACTGAACCTCGCATGTTTCTCAGTAGTTTCAATCAACAATACCACTTTCTCAGTACACACTGTTAGCTCTGTGATACCTAGTAAAAGTCGTGTTTATGTTGCTTGATTGATGCTTTCGTTTTTAATTTCATTTTTTTTTGGTAGTTGCATTATCATCACAGCCATAAGGTTGGAAGCGACCTGAATTCATCGGCTACCTTAATCAGGTGGTTGCAGGAACGTTATGAAATATTTTAGTTTTAAAATTCAGTGGTTAGATTTTTCTTATGAATAGGGTAGACGACTAATTTTTATTTTAATGTCCGTCTGGTAGATTATTTAAAAACATTAGACACGTATTTTTTATTTTCTTACGGAAACGAATAGTTTCGAAGATATATTGATTTGAAATGTCGCGTGACGTCACTTCTCAGTACATTTTATACTGAGAAATGACGTTTTAGCCCCCACTCCTAAACTTTGATTCGTTTTATCTAAGTATTGTTTTATTATACGACAAAATAAAAAAATACGTGTCCTATATTTTTTAATTACCTAACTTACGGACTAATTAGATTTTTAATTTTCATACCCTGTCATCATCCCCATTGTAATTTGTTGACTATTTTTCTGCGAAATGTTAGGAGTAAAATATGCCTTGCCTATGTAGCTATTACAATGCACATATCTTCTAAGTGTTATGAATTTCATATGGTTTCGTCCGTCCCTAAACCCAGTCTTCCTTATTACGAAACCCATTAAGCCTTTCATTGTCAATAGAAAACTTTCTAAGACAAATACTGTACTCTCAAGTACCTATGTTCTCCTCCGTGACACCTATATAAATGATAAATCCTTAAATCTTAATAGACTTATTTCTGAGGTATTTAATAAAACTAACGCAACAATAGTTTCTTGTTACCCTTTAATAACAAATTCAAGTGATTCATAACTTGACAGCAATTTCACAATAATTATGAACAACCAAAAGCATACGAAACGTAAATTCCTGGTATTGATAAAATGAACGTCAACCCGTGTCTGTGATCTCATAATTAAGGTTACAGATAATTAAACTGAACTTAGAATCATTTCTCTTATCACATATCACTAGCAATTAATAATAATTTAATACGGTAGTTGACAACTAGTCAAATTCAATACTTTTATCGAAATGTCAAAAACGATACTGTCTTATGATTTTTGTACGAAATAGCATCTTATAGCGTCATTATATTTTCGCATCAAATAGCACACAATCTAAAAAATTGCTAGAATAAATCGAAAATTAAGTAAATCGTCAAATCAATGAATGAAAGTGTAACTATTTTTTAATATTAAATTGGACTGAAAAATCAAAATAATTTATTTTTGACCCAGGAAACTACCCAATTAAACTGAACTTATATTGAATCATTTCTCTTATCACATATCACTAGCAATTAATAATAAATTTATTATCAAACATCCCTATTTGCACATTACATTTTATTGATGAAAGTATTTTACTTGCATTCAAAAATTCCCAGTTTGTTAAACTCTGTGATAAGATTACATGGGATTCAGAACGGCAACAATAATGTCATTCAATATGTTCACATGTCTCTTTTCTCGAATAAAACCACTTTTTATTCTACTATTTGTTATTCTAGCGTCTCAATGTGATAGCTAGGGATAGAAACTAAAACTTGCCTTGACCGCAGTTCGTAATTAAGCAAGGAAAAACAATGTGCGTAATGGGAAATTTGATGACATAAAACATGGTTACCTATATTATTTTCTAAAAGCTCAACAATTAGTCAACATTTAACAGGAATCGGGTAAATTTTCAATTAGTAGATTCAAGCAAAATTAAGCCATGTAAGTAAATCGCTCTATAATATTATACATATGAAAGTTTCTTTCTTTGAATGTTTTTCCGTCAATCACGCTGTAACTACTGAACGGATTTTGATGACATTTAGTATACAGGTATGGTATGGGCTGACTTAGGTGATAGGATATAATGCTCCCATGTGATAAAACAGGAATACGCAGGGAAAGCCGCAGGTAAGTTACGATCTTTATAAACGAACTAAGTTACGATCTTTATAAACGAACTACTTTAACTACTGTAACTGTAAACTCACATATTCTGCCTACCTACGAGGAAACCTAAGAGGGGAGCTTATTGCCAAATTCAGGACAAATTCAATGACTTAAAATACAATAATACTTGATGTCGCAACTATTATTTTCTACTAAAACAAAGCTGATTAGGTATACAACAATTCAACTCACAAATGAATCACACTACACAGCAATTCAACCAGGAAAAAAAAACAATAAATAAAAAACACACCATGTGCCAGTGTTTACTAATGTTCCAGAATGTTCCACCTGATTACAAGATTATAAAATAATAATAAGAATAACATAACACACGTACTTTGACCTCCGTACGATTACAAATGGAAAGATAAGGGTAACTTATTCCGTGCTTAGTCAATGATTGTGACTTGAACTATGAGGAAAGGCCAATCGAAATCTAATCTTATGACGTTGATGTTACGTCTTACTTCTAGAAGGAAGGTGGTCTGATCTATCGACCCTTGATTAGGTACTATATTAGAAGTGTCTTTGACACACGTATAGATTGTATAAATTATAATTTTAGGCGTAGATTTTGTTGAATTGTCTTGGTTCTTCAGTCTAAATGCAATGATGCAAACTCTATGAGCTATCTCTATATATGTATATATTCTAACGATTAAAATTGGTACCTATTTCATTGATACACAAAATCTAAACGGAGTGTCATACATGTTTATGTTAAAACTTTCGTGGGACATACTAGATTCATTATTATGTTTTCGGCTTACTCATGTAACTGTTTGACAAGGAGCTCGACTAGTTTTAAACCATGCTAGAGGCAGCATTCATGAGCAGCATTCCGCAACCCGTGAAGCAGCTACTGTCGCGCTGCTACAGTTACTGTTATTATATAGTTTCTATGACAGAGTATCATACAGTTTCTTCGAAGTATGTAGCTAAGTATGTGTAGTTCTTTAAGAAATAACCATTCACATCATCACATCATCAGCCTATTACTAATTGCTGACCAAAGACCTTGTTGGATGGAGAAGCTTTGATTGGAATTGGATTGGATTTAAAATTGTCTTTACTTTAATGGAAGTAAGAAGCGAAACCATTCATTGTCAGTTAATCATCAAAAATTAATCCGAAATACGAAATTTTTATTCAACCTTCAAGCCTTCAAGAAATAAGCGTATTCCTTTTTAAAAGGCCGGAAACGTACCAGTGACACCTCTAGTGTTGCGGTTGTCCATGGGCGGCGCTGATCGCTTACCATCAGGTGATCCGTCTGCTCCTCGTTTGCCTCACTGCAAAATTGTACTCAAAGATTGTTTTGTAAAATATGTGAATCTTAACAAATCTATCTCAAACTGCGCATACAGTGAAAAATCTCCTGTATCCAGAGTGTTATTGTGAGACATTGTACGTTTGTTACGTTAGCAGGAAACGGTGGCAGTTGGTACATACGCTCGTGTTACCATCTCACATCCGTCTCGCGTTGCTTTGTACCGGCTCCGTTTTCTATGTCCATTATACATTGTAATTTGTACTTAGTTTGGCAGTTTTGGGATTCATTTCTCATCTTGTAAGACATAGTATAGACATATAACTATATTATGTTATAGATGTCGACAAGATTTTAATTTGTATCTGTTGCATTAGAAGTGGAACAGCGTGTGGCCAAAATCTAGGCTAAACCTGATGTGGATTTGAACAAAGTCCTATCAACAACGAAAGCCCTTTTTTCTTTTGTAATCTTAAAGCGCGCCTTCGTCACACAAATCGTTTGTTAAGATTATCATCTATTCTAACCTATGTAATAATTTATTTGTATTGTTCCAGGTGAAACTTCTGGACTCTTTCTTCGGAGATGGGCGCGCCTACATCATGGGCCCGGAGAAAGATTGCTGGTACCTGTACACACTGCTACCGCTCGAAGGTAACTATCTAATTAACCATATCGTATATTAAAAATGTAAGCGAAAATTAAAGAAAGAAGAATGTAAGAAAAATAGTTCATTTGCACCGTTTGCACAAAGTACAATAAAATGAAAAAAAAAGTAAGAAAACAGTGAAGACGGCGCAAAAAGAGCTCAACTTAAAAACCCGTGCGCAGTATGCTGTGACGCGGCGCTGATTTTCAGCACTAGCCTGTAGCTATAGTATACATACTAAATGACTAATGTACTTGCCTGGACTGTTAGAAGAAAGCAAGGCAGAAATATGCATGTTTCATTTACAATTGTTAGTTTTATTACTAAAACAACGTATTATTACGTTGATATCAACAAGTAATAGGGGTTCGTTTATGTGTTACGTCACGCTACGTAACCTGTAGTTAGTTAAGCGATGGTTTAGACATAGTGAAAACGTCCAATAGTTATGTATGTTTATCTTATTGTGATCTATAACCAAACTCTCTTAATTAACAGGTACAGTGGATGCCTTGGAGAAGGAACACAGCGACGCGAGCGAGGGTGGTCTGATGGAGCCGGACCAGACCATCGAGATCCTCATGTCAGACTTGGATCCTGCTGTCATGGACATCTTCACACGACAGTACTCTGCTGACGCCGCCGCGGCTACACGGGTAAATTAAAAAGATACATGTTTTAACACGTTAAACGCCATGGGGGTCACCGGTGACCGGCATTAGCGGAGGATTTACCTTCAACAGTTTTTTATTGGCAGTCAGTCTTAATTATACGACTCGGAATGTTATAAAGTCTATGTGAAGCAAAAGAAATTTGGTTGCTTTTTATAAAAGTACTTTTATTTTTGTATAATAACATAAAATCACGCCTTTTATCCCCAAAGGGGTAGGCAGAGGTGCACATTACGCCTTTAAACTGAACAATGTAACACCCACTTTTCACTATTTATGTTATGAGTCCTATGTAATAGGGGGTGAGCCTATTGCCATATATCGGGCAGAATTCCAGACTCCATGCTACTATTGAGATTTTTTTTTAATCCCACTAATACTTTGCTCGCTTCAAGAATCAAATCCGAGCTTACCATCAGGTGGGCCAACTGTTTTTTACCATCAGCAGGTTGGCAGCAACCTGCATCCAGTGACTCCCTGTGACCATGATGAATAAATAAAACATGTTTTGACTGAAATAACTTTTAATTTATATTATTTTATTTATGTGTAATATATTATTGTTTACAGGAGTCTGGCATTGACAAGATTATACCCGGGATGGTGATTGACGACTTCCTCTTCGATCCGTGCGGATACTCCATGAATGGAGTTGCTAAAGATGTAAGTCGTTATTTTATTACTTAACTAGCTTTTACCCGCGGCTTCGCTCGCGTCACAAAAGGATAAAAAGTACCCTATGTGACATATATCGATATACACAGCGCCATCTATAACGATACTTTTGTTTGCCCTCGGGAATATCAATTTTTTCCGGGATAAAAAGTACCCTATTATTTAATCCGGACTTCTAACTTTACGTCTGCAAAAATTAAAAGCAATCGGTTCAGTAGTTACGGCGTGAAAGCGGAACAAACCATCAAACAAACAAACTCACTTTCCGATTTATAATATTAGTAAGGATAAACATATTACAACTTTCGTCAGACATCTAAATTAATTTTTATGTTTTACGGCTTACTTATGTAACTGTTTGACGAGATAATCGACTAGTTTCAAGCCATGCTAGAGGCTCATATTCGTGAGCATCATTCCGCAATCCGCGGCACGGCGACTGTCACGCTTCTACTATCAAAACTGGTCGAGTTCCCCGTCAAACAGTTACGTGAGTAAGCTGAAGAACAAATATACCTGGCGCTAGTGTAGCTTTAAAGTCTAGTGACCTATAATAGGCTATGTCAAGGCGTAATTATTGTGTTGTAAAATAAAATAATAATCATTCAATTTTAAATCTTCACGCTGCTAAAAGGGAGCTAAGGATTTACCATCAGTAAGTTGTCTTAGTAAATGAATACTGTAATTACACCCGTGCTATTTAATTCATGACGTAAATAGAGCAGTTATAAACAATTAACTAAGTTGTAATGTTATAAAAATAGAATATTTATGCTATAACTTGTCTATGTACGAATGTAATATCTGGCAATTATTTTATTTATTTTCCTACGTTAGTATAGTCTGTATTTTTCCACGTTTAGCTTTTACGGCGTTATTAAAGTGCAAATGATTGTGGAATGTTCACAAAATAGTATTAGAAAGAGTCACTTCAAGTATTGAAACTGAGTATCTCAATATCGCCAAAAATGAAAAAGAACATGTTAAAACTTACTTGGGACTCTTTTTACATTTACATTACAGATATTTCCGAAATTATTATTTTTTGCCAAGGAAACATTCGAATAGGTAATACGCATATAATAATAACCAAACTCATGTGAATGTATCGTTTGTGTGCAGGGCTGCTACATGACCATCCACATAACTCCGGAGCGGTCGTGCTCGTACGTGTCGTTCGAGTCCAACGTGCCAGTCTCCTCGTACGACGAGGTCATCGCGCGCGTACTGCAGGCCTTCCGCCCGGCCAAGTTCGTGCTCACCGTCTTTGCTACACCGGTACGTATGCACTGATACATTATCAGGACTCGATAGAGTAGCATTAGGGATTGTTCTTTAATGAACCGTGTGTCTGCAGGACTCTCCAGGTGCATCCGCCGCCCGCGAGCTGAAGAAGTTCCCAGCGCTGGGCGCGTACTGTCCGCTGGAGTCCCAGCACTGTCGGTTCTCAGGGTACGAGCTGCAGTACGCCCTGTACGCCAAGTTCCCGAGCTGAGGAGCGCGCCCCGCGCCCCGCGTCCGCGCCCCGCCGCCGCCCGCCGCGCCCCCGCGCCGCGCCCTGGCCGAGCTGCTGGGGGCGGAGCGCGGCGCGGCGGGCGCGCCCCCCGCGCCCCCGCGCCCCCGAGCCGGCCTGCTGGCGGCGCTGGGGCGCGCGGCGCGCCTGCTGTGCTGCGAGACCGCGCCGCCCGCCTGAGCGACAGACTGACTCTTCCATTCCATTAAGTGATATATCTTACCTAGACGTTACCTTAGTGTCCGACTGTCTTGTGTGGCGTCGATCCTTGCGACAATTAACGTAGCGCTGCTCATTAGCGAACTATGTAACGCGAGTAGGCGATGTGCGGACTCGTGCGGGCGGCTCGTGCGGCCGGTGCTGCCGGTGCAGCCGGTGCGGCCGGTGCAGGCGGTCCACGGAGACCAGTGCAGGCTGGTGCAGGCTGGTGCAGGCTGGTGCAGGCTGGTGCAGGCTGGTGCCGGCGCGGGCTCGTGCGGACGCGGCGGCGGACTGGCCGCGAACAAACGCGGGGCGTGCACGCCCACTCTCTCTGAGATTTAAAAATCAAATAAAAAGATTTCGACTTAATCATTCGACTTTTATTTATACTATAACAGAAAATACCCTATCTTAGAATAGAAGTCTTTAGTAAATAAGACACAATACATAACGATCTCGACATTAGTCCATAAACACTTGACAGCGACCGACTGAAACCAATACGTGTCAGCTACAAACGTTTTTGAGCTAGAATTGCCCTGAAGCAATCCATAATGACCTGGGTCTAGAATGTGCCCATTTCAAAAATCTTAAGGATATCCTGAATCATGATAATAATTTTCAATGATAGGATAGTGTAGGACTGGTCTTATCCTAGTCCTGCAGCTGTAGCCAAATGCGACTTAGCGCTTGTCTACATGTAGAATAGAATACCAAATTATATGGAATTGACGTAAATTTTGACACTTGTCAGTGTCATCCCCATACATTTAGTTTTCTACTCTCTCTGTAGACAAGCGCTAAAGTGGCGTTTGGCTAAGGGCTCTGATCTGCATGAAGGCTTGCAATATCTTAAAAACTAAGAGGCATAAAATAACGTTATCTTCGGACCCTCCAAGGCGCTCGCTCCCCTGTAAACACACATTTGCTGGTTGATGGATAGGGCGGGGAATGACCTTGGGTAAAGTGGACCCCATTTATACTATGTCAAAACGTAATTGTACCAATTCCAATAATTTTACATGACATCACTCCTTTTATCCCCGAAGGGGTAGGCAGAGGTGCACATTACGGCACTTAATGCCACTGTACAATGTAACACCCACTTTTTACTATTTATGTTATGAGTCCCATGTAATAGGGGGTTAGCCTATTCACCTACCGTAGCGGAATGCCCTGCGTGGGCTGAGCACCGCCGTGCCCTCAGGGAAGTGATCGGCGATGGCGACCTCTCGCGTCCGGGCCTAGTGCAGGCCATGATGCGGAGCGAGGGGGACTGGGATGCCGTCTCCTCCTTTTGCGAAGCAGTCATGCTAGCTAAGGAGGAGGCGGGACGCGTGAGGCAGCGAAGCGCTGCCTCCTCGCAACCCAGCCATCGCGAAGGACACACCGGGCGTCGGGGATCGCGGGACGATCTCCGGCCACCGTAAGCGCGGGCCTGCGGACGGCGAGCATGGGCGGCTCCCCGTCCGACCAGAAACAGACCCGAGCGTACGGCGCGTCGCGTTCCGCGCGCGCCTCAAAGAGCCATCAGACCACCACAGATGGGGCCCAATAGGGCCGATGCCGATTCGGAGTCGCGGAGAACCTAACGGGTAACCGGGGCTCCGGCTCGACGTGCAGGAGAAGGAACGGGGTGGTTTTTAGTCAGTAAGAGTCTGACACTCCCTTCCGCCTCACCCAGGCGGGAGCAGTCATTCGATGATTTTCCCCCCTTAAAAAAAAAAAAAAAAAAAAAAAAAAAGCCTATTCACCTATTGCAATTGCATTGCATTACCGGGTGCAATTCCCAGTAATACTTTGCCCGACCCGGGAATCGAACCCGAGACCCCCTGGCCCGGCAGTCGCACTTGCGACCACTCGACCACTCTGCCAACGAGGCAGTCTAATAATTTTGTATGATAGAATAGTTTTGAACTGGTCCAATATCTCAAAAACTGGAGGTAAAGGCAATTTTGAACGTCAACAAATTAATTTAAAAGTGAAGCTCATTTGCTCATTCCAAGGTGTAGATTCCTATGGAGAAGAAGGAGCAAGAAACTATAGGTTACTTTGTTCAATCAGTTTCACAATACAATTCTCTAGTTACATAGTTTTGTTGTTTGGATTGTGCGAGAACATAGTAACACCAAAATCCAGTCAAAGAGATTGAAACAGAAAATAACCTTTAAGGACAATAAATAATACAGCCTGGAGCTGACCAGTCCCAGTTGACGGCGCCCGTATACGAACATGACACTACGTGCTTCGTGCTTTATATGTTGATCTGACCTGTTAGTAATATTCATGCAAAATTTGAAGTTAATCCATGCAGTCCTTTTTGAGTTCATCCCGGACATACATACAGACAGGCAAAAATTGTAAAGACCATATTTTTGGTTTCGGTATTGACTGTAGATCAAGAAGATAGATAAAGCATTCTTTGACGAGCCATCGTTTAGATCGGACGTATTGAACAATTTATTAGTATAATTAATGTTAAATAATCATTTGCAAAAATCGTGATCTAGAATAACAACTGAACATTAATACCTATTGTGTAATGTGTAAATTGACAATGCTGTACGATTGAAAATTAAACACACTGCAACATGGAAAACAGCCCTTTTGCTCAGAGTAGCAGGGTTGCACGCTCACCACCTGGTACACCTGTACCGATGAACGCTCCTATCATACAGTCAACACCCCGAAGTACCGATGGCCCAGAAGTCATACAAACCCCGGAACTGCAAAAATGGGTAGCTGCCATCGACCAAAACCTCACCGAGATATGCAGTCTTGTCGACGCTGGCAAGATGAACTCGGAACAAAAGTTGCGAGTAAATGCCCTATCCCGGAAGGTCATCAGTGCTTCGTCACAGATGGCAGTGCTATACCAAGGTCTAAAATGTAGAGCTTTGGTAGACCACCAACGCCTTTGTGACCTGGAATGTCAGATTGACCTCTCTCATCAACTCCAAGACCTTAAACAGAAGATTACTGAGACCTCCAAGCCTGCCCAAAAACACTCATTTGCCGACATGGTCAAAAAAGGAGCTAATAAATTTATTCAGCCCGCAAAAGTGAGCTCAGTCGCCATATACCCTAGCGACAAAATGAAAACAAGTGAAGAAACAAAATCACTGGTCCAAAAACTTATACGCCCTGAGGAGTTGAAACTGCAGGTACGAGGCCTACGTAAAACGAAAAACGGTGGTGTTATCATCAATACCGAGTCGCAGAGCGATATTGAAAAGCTGAGACATTCTGCGCAACTATCAAGCTCAGGCCTAATATGCGATGAGCCGAAAAAAAGAAACCCCAGGGTCGTCATTATCGGAGTACCATGCAGTATGCCCGACAACGAAGCCTTAACAAGCCTGTACCACCAAAATTTAGCAGATAAAATCAAGGACTGCAATTTAGAGACTTTCTTGTCCATGACGAGATTAAGTCATAAATCAGGAAGGAGAGACGCTGAGACATGCAACTACGTGATCGAAGTAACCCCGTCTATACGCAAGGCCCTAATATCACAGGAAAGAGTCTTCATCAACTGGTCATCGTGCCCTGTTCGAGACTTCACTTTAGTGACCAGGTGCTTTAATGCCAGCAGTACGGACATGCTATCAAATCATGCCGTCAAACATCCTTCACCTGCGGCCACTGCGGAGAACAAGGACACGCCATCAAGGACTGCACAAAGAAGTCTAATGAACCCAAATGTGCAACCTGCCTGCATTTCAAAAAGCCAGCTGGCCACATGACCGGTGCCACCGAATGCCCTGCAAAGACTATGGCCGAAAAAAGGTATATTAACTCAGTAAACTATGAAGGCGCCTAAGAGCGCTAACACCTAATTGTATTCTTAGTCCTATTCCTAGATTTATATCAACTATGATAAATAATATCATTAGCGATTTAGACCAATTCTCTGTGTCTGACTCTAAGATGTGTGAAGTTGAAAACTGCAAACAATATCTCTATAGCATCGAAAACCCACTAACTATACTAACACAAAATATCCGCAGTATCTTTAAGAAATTTGATAGCTTTTCTACACTTTTGCATCGATTAGATATAAACTGTGATATAATGGTATTAACCGAATGTTGGCTTGCTAAACAATATAATATCCCACAAATACCTGGATATAACACATATAGCAGTTATAAAAATTACAATCAAAACGATGGTGTAGTAGTTTATGCAAGGAACCACCTTAATATATCTGTAGAGGAACCAAATATGCACGACTGCAACCGACTATTACTTAAAATCGGATCAGAGATTGCAATACTAGCATTATACCGACCCCCGTCGTTTAAAAACACAAAACTTTAATAACTCTCTGAATGACGCATTACAGAACCTCTCATCCTTCAAAAATGTAATTGTAATAGGATTCATAAATATTAACATTACGCCGCTGAGTATTGATGCGTCTGCTCAGGAATACCTCAATGTATGTGCCCTGCAGGGCCTGCTCCCCACGCATAACTTCCCTACACACCAAAGAGGTTCCTGCTTAGATCACATCATGCTAAAATCGGCTTTCCCCTCGCTTGCACTTTAACTAACTCATCAATAACCGATCATAACGCTGTCCTACTAACTCTAAATTGTAGCCTCCTAAACAAAATACTCGCTTAATTAACAAATTGCAATTAGATAAACTTGAGGACGATTTACGCAACATCGACTTTGAGCCAGTCTATAATTCCGCTGACCCACAGTACTGCATGTCGTACGTGATTGAAAGCGTGCGTCATGCAATTCAGCAAAACACAGTACTGACAAAGTTACGTAACAAAAACCATAACATCAAACCGTGGATTACAACTGGACTAATCAGGTGCATGAAACATAGGGACAAACTGCACATTAAGGCTAAATCTAATCCAGACAATACGGATATACAAATATCTTACAAAAGATATCGAAACTTTTGCAACGATCTCCTTAAAAAGATCAAAAGTCAATTCGATAAAACTAAACTAGAAAAGGCTGGCTCAAATAGCAGACAATTATGGAAGTGCATTAAAAATATTACATACGCGTCAAAACAAAGTGATTCAGCCTCGGGTTTACTAGAGGGATATACGACACCGCGCACGGCCGCTAATGTGACTAACAACTTTTTTGCTAATGTGGGCAAAAGTCTAGCAGAAAAAATCCAGGGTCAAGGTCCTCCTCAACAAAATACCCCAAAGAAATGCGCACCCATAGCATCTTTTGTGATGTTCGACACTGACGAGACTGAGGTACAAAATATTATTATGACTCTGAAGGACGATAGCGCTGCTGGCTGGGATGATATCTCTAGTAAAATTATTAAGCAGTTTAGAAATATTCTAACTCCTCCTTTGACTTATATTTTTCGACTGTGTTTATCTTCCGGCATATTCCCGGCATGTCTCAAAAAATCAGTCATAGTTCCAGTACATAAATCAGGCAGTAAATCCCAAGTAACAAACTATAGACCTATCTCACTACTGCCTTCTATGTCTAAAATATTAGAGAAGCTATAAATAATAGACTGCTTAAATACCTGAGGACAGGTCAATTCTATCAAACACCAATATGGATTTAGACCTAAAATTTCAACAGCAGACGCAGTACACTACGTGACTAACTACATAACGCAAGAACTTGATAAGGGTAAACATACTTTGGGAGTCTTCCTGGATTTGGCCAAGGCTTTTGACACAATTTCTATTCCTGTGTTGTTGCATAAGCTGGAGATCATAGGTATAAGAGGAATGCAGCTTAAATTCTTTCAAAGTTATCTAGAAGACCGCAGTCAGTGTGTAAGAATCGGTAAAGTACTCAGCGATGACGTTAAAAACACCCCCTACGGTGTCCCGCAGGGGAGCATATTATCGTCTACATTGTTTCTAATTTACATAAATGACCTATGCAATCTTAAGCTGGAACACGGCACAATCGTGTCATACGCTGACGACACCGCTCTACTTTTTTCTGCTGACTCGATAACTGAGGTCTACAGACTTGCGCAGCACGGATTTAATAATGTAAATAATTGGCTTCGGTGTAACTCACTAACATTAAATACAGATAAGACACACTTCATCAAATTTGCTATTCGGAAGGAAAACCCAGTATCTACATTAGCCTTGTATGCCCATCACTGTAACATTCCTGACCAATGTATGCGCCCTTTTATCAATCAGAGTAGTAATGTAAAATATTTGGGTGTAATATTAGATGAAACTCTTTCTTTTAAACGGCATCTGAGCGTTTTAAACAGTAGATTGCGTAAGCTCATATTTGTGTTCAAAAAGCTGCGTTATATTGCTGACCCAAAAATAATCAGACAGGTATATTTCTCCTTGTGCCAATCAATATTGACTTACTGTATTACCTCTTGGGGTGGTACGGATAAGACTCTACTGCTTTCCACTGAAAGAGCCCAAAGAGCGATTCTCAAGGTGTCTACTGGCCGATCTTTTCTTTACCCTACTAACCTTCTATATAGTTCTTGTAAAGTACTAATAGTCCGGCAGCTTTTTATTATGAGCACGGTACTAAAACAGCATGCGGCTTTTCCATACAATCCTGAGATAACCAAAAAAAGGCGAAGTGATATTGTTTGCCCAACCAAAAGTACAAAGCACGCTTTTATTACCAAATTTTTTGAATTTCTTGGACCACTCCTATACAATAGACTAAATGCAACCTTATGGATTTACCCCCATAGCATCCGTAACTGTAAGAAAATTCTAAAGGAAGCCCTTCAAGACATGTCCTATGAAGACACAGAGAAGTTATTATTAGTTCCTAAATAATACTTAACGTAAGCTCCTAATCTCTAATTTATATACTACATACATACTCTTATATACATATTAAGCATAGAATTTAAGTATTACTTTATATCAGTATGCATAAATATATCTAAATATTGTCATAATTTACCTTAACTTATAAGCATTTAAGTACTAGTGATTATATAACAATGTCTATTACTATTACTATTACCTAACCTCGCCTGAAACACAGGATGTCCTAGTTCAGGCACCTTATATTGTGAACTTTATATAGCTTTAAGCAATACTGTACATTTCTAGACTATTATGTTTGAAAATAAATTTTTATTTATTTTATTATTTTATTTATTCTTTTAAAAAAATATTCTCTGGTGGTCCAGGTGTCCACGGGCGACGCCGATTGCTTATCATCAGGTGAATCCGTATGGCAGTAACATATATATTTTTGGGCCACTTATAAAAAATGTGACTTTGCAACAGAGAATTTACTCTTAATTAATATTTATTTATTTATTAACACTTCTGTATAACAAACATACGATGGCGGACTTAATGCCGGGTGGCATTCTCTAACAGTCAACCATGGGGTGATGCAGAGATGTGCAACAGTAGGTGTAATAGGTATAATGGTTTATGTGACACAGAAAAATCTATATAATTAAATTCATGATTATGCATAACTGTAAATACATACATATATAAGTATATATAGGTATAATATAAATTAGATAAGATACATTATCAATATTACTAAATAACAATACATACTATAAAAGTAAATAAATGAATTGGGAATAAAACTACATATACATATTTAGACTAGGGTATAAGAATAAAAAACTAAAGTTTAAATAAAAAATATATTTAGTCATTTTGATTACATTCAGCAAATACATAATATTAATTCACTAACATCAATGTACTTAATTCATCAAAATACATCACAGAAATTGAAGCATAATTTATTATCAAGGAATAAACCGTACATTACGCTCTTTCTCACACCAAAGGGATAGGCTGAGATGCACATATTCATAGTAAAATAATTTTCATCAGTTATTTTTATTACGTATCTCATGTAATAGGGGTCTACCCTATGCTATAAACATACATTGAGCATATATGGACAGAAAATTTCGAACTAGAAAACTCAAAATTGCCTGAGCAGGTAATCAAATCCAAGACATCGAGTTCAACAGTCGCTATAATGCTATCGACTAACAAAGCAATAATTTATAACATCAATACCTAACATATATTTCAAAAATATAAATTTTCTCCCAAATCTGACATCGAACCGACACCTTAGTACATCCACAACCATTTCATAACTTAAGTGAGTGATAAGTTAAGCTTACAACCTATATATAATACACCGTGAAATATATTTCGTATTCGTCCCGCGGTGAAACACACTTTATGCCATAAAGAGTAATTGCGATGTAGAAACAAAAACAAAAAAAAGATAAAGATATTTTTTTTAGTTTAAACTGTCAAACACCAAGCGGTCACCGGTGACCGCAACCTATTGTTCTTTAATTGTGTCTATAAATACGGTACTCGACGAGTTAATATAAATTCCATGGAACATACGCATCGCACATGCCACCCGACGAGAATATCTCTTCGAGAATTGGGATGACGACAGGGTATGAAAATTAAAAATCTAATTAGTCCTTAAGTTAGGTAATGAAAAAATATTAGACACGTATTTTTTATATTGTCGTATATGAAAACAATACTGAGATAAAATGAATCAAAGTTTAGGACTACGTATAAAACGTACATAGAAGTGACGTCACGCGACATTTTAAATCAATATATCGTCGAAAGTATTCGTTTCTATATGAAAATAAAAAATACGTGTCTAATGATTTAAAATAATCTACCAGACGGACATTAAAATAAATATTAGGCATCTTGGCGTGATGTTTTGATATGATATGAGTTCGTATGTGCTTTCGAAATTTGCTTTTTGCAATGGTTCACCAGTTATTATTTGTTTTCAACATTTTATTTCTTTGTAAAACTATTGTATTACCAAGAGAGAACCATTTTGCTTTGGGACGAAAATGAAATAGATTTCACGGTGTATAGTTATTTTAACAATGGAAGACATCGATCACAATTTAGGTACATATGTACTTAATTTAAATATTACATACAATTACAAATGCATAACTTTGACCTTAGAGAATAGGTACTTAATGAAATGTTTCGTAACAGTTCAGAAGTTGCTATTTTTCAAAAATAGTGTATTATTTTTTTTGTAAATCTCTGTTCTAGAGTATTATTTGAATCATAATTATATGAATATTAAAAACAGTATTATTGTTCACTTATTTTAGATATAAAGTATCTGACGCATAAAATAATTATTTACGCTATTTAAAATATTTTTTTACGTTGTAAATAAATTGAGCAAATCGAATAGAAGTGAGCAAGTTAACTTGAGCATTATACTAAAAGCGTAAACTTTTAAATAGAATTCGTTCATAATAAAAGCAGGTAGTCAACATTATTATCATCAGTTCAGTTGATATAACACTACTCATCCTTCAGTCGGGTAAAAATGAAGCCTCAATACTAATGTTCAAATATCCAAACGCCACTAATTTTAAGACACCCTCAAAAATATTTCTGTCTCTACAAATTCTTTGTAAAATGACAGAGACAGCGACACACGATATATAACCCGTCGAGCGTCCGCGTTCCTTATGATCCAACGGGTGCACACGTGACATTTGGAGCATTTTTTTTTCTTATGATCCACCGGGTGCTCATGAGGACGCTCGAGGGGTTAAGTAAAACTTTAAATTGAGTAACGTGTCAGTATTCGGTGTGTCTACTGCAGTATCTGGCAGGGTGGGACTACGCCCCCCAGGGCTTCCCCGAGGTGCTCCGCCACGGCCGCGCACAGCGCCTCCTGGCGGGGCGCCGCCACTACTTGGATACCCACTGGTACCTTGTCACTGTTCAGGCCTAGAGGTACCTGTAACGATGGTAAGTTTTGGTTAGATAATGTAATAGTAATGAAGGCTAATGTGTTTTTTAGTCATCTGATGGGGCAAATGCAGCGAATAGGTTTAATTAAGCTCTCTATATAGAGGAGGCCATGTTTAATAGTGTTGTTGATGTTAAATAGAGTCAAGCCGTTTGCTATGACTTTAAAAACGCTTAGTATTCCTAACTGAAAAAGTAGATAGTTTTACATAACATAACATCACGCCTTTTATCCCCGAAGGGGTAGGCAGAGGTGCACATTACGGCACTTAATGCCACTGTACAATGTAACACCCACTTTCCACTATTTATGTTATGAGTCTCATGTAATAGGGGGTGAGCCTATTGCCATATACCGGGCACATTTCCAGACTCCGTGCTACTACTGAAGTTTTCACAAACCCAGTAATACTTTGCCCGACCCGGTAATCGAACCCGAGACCCCTTGCCCGGCAGTCGCACTTGCGACCACTCGGCCAATGAGGCAGTCAGATAGATAGTTTTACTTTTATATATTTGATGGGCCGACGTTTCCCCACTATCTCGCCTGGTGGTAAGCTATGATACGGTCTACGATATAGCATGTCGTCCCATTAGCAACCTACTCGCTTGCAGATAGTAAAATAATGCATGAATTGCATGATAATACATACCTGTGCAGCAGGGAAGTGCAGTGCGTTGAAGATGGCCCAGTAAGCGAAGTTGAAGGGGCGCACTATGGGGGAGTAGTGGTAAGGGGCCACTAGTGGACTACTGGGGAACAGGAGGACTCCGTCATCGCCCAGCAACTTCTGTAATGGTGTAACAAACATGTGTGGTTAGTAGGGAATTTAGATAAGGTAATTGGGATGATGACAGGGTATGATAATTAAAAATATAATTAGTCCGTAAGTTAGGTAATGAAAAAATATCAAACTTAATGAACATATCAAATATGATGAGATGAACACACTATACATAGATGCATTAAAGTGATGAGGATTAATAATACATGACAATTAATCACTGAAAGAAAGCGAAAGAAGTATGAAGGAATCGTAGTAATTAGCGTTTCATAGTCTCTGCCTACCCAATTGGGAGAAGTTGTGTATGTAATTACTGAAGATAAAATTGCAAGCAAAAAAAAAAATATGCATATAATTAAAAAAAAATAATAAAAAAATACCACAAAACTTTCAACTCAGAAACACAAAGCGACATGAATCACCTACTAGATGTACTTAAACATTGATTGAATAATGTATTACTTTACTCACAATAAGATCATCAGTAAACTCCTTGGTGAGTTGTTCAGCCCATTCCTTGTTGACTGGAGGTAGCACTTGGTCGTCCGCCAACTTCATTATGGCGGGCAGAGTGTACTCAGACATGCCCAGCAACTGAAATAGCGTGAAGATATATTGTGAGGGTTTTCCATGTGGATACGTAGTTATCATTATTGAGTTATATGTATGTAATGTGTTACTTTTTTGAGGCAAAAATTAAATATTTAAATATATTTATGAAGAATCATGTTTCGGAACGAATGAGCCGGCTCAAATGGACTGACACCACGACCTCATATAAATAAGGCGTGAAACAACGGTTATGTTGTATTTTGCACAGAGTGAGTTAGATCCCTAAAGATTACTGTAGAAAACTCCAAGGTGGTAAAATAATTTAAAGCAGTCAAGTAGAATTAATAGCGTGTAATCCGAACAATGACAAAAAACAGATTGATGAGAGGTTACAGAATACAATAATATTAACTACAAATACGCCTAACGTGCGCTCGTTCGCGTCATTAGCCAGTCGAGTGTAATTGCCTTTATAAAGCAGTAGGCGCTTCGACAATTACCAATCCTCTGGTGATACTGGTGTAAATAGGTGACGTTGATTACTCAACCAGCGCTTACCACCATTAAAAATTATATTAACTGAGTTGAGTGACCTATACCATAAGAAAATTAACGGCACGGCATTATTGATTGACGGTTGGTGCGGTGCCTGGACAACCGGCTGTCGCACAACGTATCGCGGCTTCAATTCCCGCACGGAGTAACTCTTTGTGTGATCCACAAATTGTTGTTTCGGGTCCGGGTGTCATGTATATGTGAACTTTTATATGTTTGTAAATGCACCCACGACACAAGACAAAATCCTAGTGTGGGTAAACGTTTAAAAAAAAAAGAAAAATTAGTTCAAAATTAGCATGTAGGTTAGTAGGTACCGTAAACCTTACCTTCTTAGGAAACTCCTTCCAGAACTTAGCAGTGCCTGTGTTGTTGGTGAGAAGTTCAGCAAAGACATCCTCCTCGTGCGTCATCCAGTACCTCCACAGAACCAACATGTGGTTGAAGCCGCGGTGGTAGTATGGCTTGGGAGCGTTGTCCGTTGACGATACGTCCTCTGTTACCTTTGTGATGGCCCTGGAAATGTAGATAAAATAAACATTCGTGAGACATAGTAAATTAATTATTACTTATATTTATTATAACTTATTTATTATAAATTAATTATAACTGTTTGACGACCGTTACGCGAAAGAGCCGAAAAAAAATAATAAAAAAAAAATTAAAAAAATTGTTATCATAAGTCACCGATCACATCAATTTTAGCGCTCGCATATTAATAGAGCGCACTCGCGACGCCCATTATCGGGAGTTGCGTCATATGACGAGTCATAATAATGAGTAAATGACTCACATTGATATCGTGAAGTGAACGCATAAGAGATAAGGCAATAATGTGTAATCTATGCAAATGGCGAGGGAACCATTTGAACAATATTTTATATAAAATGCTATTGAACTCACCACGATTTCAAAAAAATTTAATAAGCATATTTATTTTAACGCCAAAATATGCAAGCATGCATGTAATGCAAACGAGACGAACATATATTGTGAAAAATAGTAAAAATAATCGAACGTTTGGACGTACGTTTGGTTTTAGTTCACAAAATGCCCAAGTTGAACACGCAATGATATTATTTTACAAGTACTACGAGGGCCTACCTCGGGCAGATACTTCGATGGCGCATTGCATACTATAAAAGAAAATTTTAAAAATGATTTCAATGCATCACGTCATAACGTGAGCAGTTTACTTGGAGGACAGACTGGTTGCCCCCACTTCGGAGATGGCCACAGCCAGCATGAACCGACGCTACGCCCAATGCGACTTCTTTAGTATAAGACTCAAATGAAACTGAATAAACAAATTAATTCTATACTTTAGTTGTCTCTTTTGCCAAAACTCCTGTTAGCATAGGCTGCCAGAGCTCACCGCAGCCTACAAGTCAAAGAAAACTAAAATTAAGCTGAGTACTAGCCAAATGTTGCTCTCGAGCAAGTACTATGAGGCTCTGCAGCGGATACTTCGATGGCGCATCGCATAACATAAGAGAAAAATTTAAAAATGATTTCGATGCTTCGTTTAGCGACATTCGCCCGTTTCGTGCGGCGGCTGGCTTACAATTTACTTGTACGACACACTGACTGTCCCTACTTTGTAGAGGACTACAGGCTCCTTGATCCGAACTATGTACCGAAACTCCATACGATGGAGACACATGAATAAGTCTATAAAAAAATGTTACATATGACTATCTTTTTCGTTCACCCTCAATGATTTAGCTTGTCGCATAAGCTCACGCCAAATGGAACAAGGTAACGTAGACTTTAAAATTCGGCAACCAACGTGGAAAATGCGATCGTTTTTTTGTATATGACGCGATGCACCCGATGGCGAGTCGCATAATATAAGGGAAAATTTTTAAAATGTTTTCGATTCTCGAATTGGCTTTAGCGACTTGTGTCAGTTTCGTGTGGTACCTGGCTTGCGGTCTACTTGTACGACAGCGGCAGACTGACCGTCCCTACTTTGTGGAGGACTACATGCTGCTCGATCCCAACTATGTACCGAAACGATGTGAACTCGTTTTTAAGAAAAAATGAAACGCATCCCCGACATGTTTCAAAGCCAGACATTCATAACATAAAATATTCGACCAGCTATCAAAATGTGTGTGCCACAACAAGCGGCCAATGCTTCGGTATGGCGTCGGACAATGGTAAAAATTAAAACATGACATCGGATGGTCTCGTTCCGATGCTCACTCAATTCGTCCATTACGTGTGTACGACGGCTGGTGACCAGTTTACTTGCGAGGACAGACCGGCTGCTCCCACTTCGTAGATGACCACAGCCAGCATGAACCGACGCTACGCCCAATGCGACTTCTTTAGTATAAGACTCAAATGAAACTGAATAAACAAATTAATTCTATACTTTAGTTGTCTCTTTTGCCAAAACTCCTGTTAGCATAGGCTGCCAGAGCTCACCGCAGCCTACAAGTCAAAGAAAACTAAAATTAAGCTGAGTACTAGCCAAATGTTGCTCTCGAGCAAGTACTATGAGGCTCTGCAGCGGATACTTCGATGGCGCATCGCATAACATAAGAGAAAAATTTAAAAATGATTTCGATGCTTCGTTTAGCGACATTCGCCCGTTTCGTGCGGCGGCTGGCTTACAATTTACTTGTACGACACACTGACTGTCCCTACTTTGTAGAGGACTACAGGCTGCTTGATCCGAACTATGTACCGAAACTATGATGTGAGACACAACTGAAGTAATATTTCCATACGATGGAGACACATGAATAAGTCTATAAAAAAATGTTACATATGACTATCTTTTTCGTTTCACCCTCAATGATTTAGCTTGTCGCATAAGCTCACGCCAAATGGAACAAGGTAACGTAGACTTTAAAATTCGGCAACCGACGTGGAAAATGCGATCGTTTTTTTGTATATGACGCGATGCACCCGATGGCGAGTCGCATAATATAAGGGAAAATTTTTAAAATGTTTTCGATTCTCGAATTGGCTTTAGCGATTTGTGTCAGTTTCGTGTGGTACCTGGCTTGCGGTCTACTTGTACGACAGCGGCAGACTGACCGTCCCTACTTTGTGGAGGACTACATGCTGCTCGATCCCAACTATGTACCGAAACGATGTGAACTCGTTTTTAAGAAAAAATGAAACGCATCCCCGACATGTTTCAAAGCCAGACATCCATAACGTAAAATATTCGACCAGCTATCAAAATGTGTGTGCCACAACAAGCGGCCAATGCTTCGGTATGGCGTCGGACAATGGTAAAAATTAAAACATGACATCGGATGGTCTCGTTCCGATGCTCACTCAATTCGTCCATTACGTGTGTACGACGGCTGGTGACCAGTTTACTTGCGAGGACAGACCGGCTGCTCCCACTTCGTAGATGACCACAGCCAGCATGAACCGACGCTACGCCCAATGCGACTTCTTTAGTATAAGACTCAAATGAAACTGAATAAACAAATTAATTCTATACTTTAGTTGTCTCTTTTGCCGAAACTCCTGTTAGCATAGGCTGCCAGAGCTCACCGCAGCCTACAAGTCAAAGAAAACTAAAATTAAGCTGAGTACTAGTCAAATGTTGCTCTCGAGCAAGTACTATGAGGCTCTGCAGCGGATACTTCGATGGCGCATCGCATAACATAAGAGAAAAATTTAAAAATGATTTCGATGCTTCGTTTAGCGACATTCGCCCGTTTCGTGCGGCGGCTGGCTTACAATTTACTTGTACGACACACTGACTGTCCCTACTTTGTAGAGGACTACAGGCTGCTTGATCCGAACTATGTACCGAAACTATGATGTGAGACACAACTGAAGTAATATTTCCATACGATGGAGACACATGAATAAGTCTATAAAAAAATGTTACATATGACTATCTTTTTCGTTTCACCCTCAATGATTTAGCTTGTCGCATAAGCTCACGCCAAATGGAACAAGGTAACGTAGACTTTAAAATTCGGCAACCGACGTGGAAAATGCGATCGTTTTTTTGTATATGACGCGATGCACCCGATGGCGAGTCGCATAATATAAGGGAAAATTTTTAAAATGTTTTCGATTCTCGAATTGGCTTTAGCGATTTGTGTCAGTTTCGTGTGGTACCTGGCTTGCGGTCTACTTGTACGACAGCGGCAGACTGACCGTCCCTACTTTGTGGAGGACTACATGCTGCTCGATCCCAACTATGTACCGAAACGATGTGAACTCGTTTTTAAGAAAAAATGAAACGCATCCCCGACATGTTTCAAAGCCAGACATTCATAACGTAAAATATTCGACCAGCTATCAAAATGTGTGTGCCACAACAAGCGGCCAATGCTTCGGTATGGCGTCGGACAATGGTAAAAATTAAAACATGACATCGGATGGTCTCGTTCCGATGCTCACTCAATTCGTCCATTACGTGTGTACGACGGCTGGTGACCAGTTTACTTGCGAGGACAGACTGGCTGCTCCCACTTCGTAGATGACCACAGCCAGCATGAACCGACGCTACGCCCAATGCGACTTCTTTAGTATAAGACTCAAATGAAACTGAATAAACAAATTAATTCTATACTTTAGTTGTCTCTTTTGCCAAAACTCCTGTTAGCATAGGCTGCCAGAGCTCACCGCAGCCTACAAGTCAAAGAAAACTAAAATTAAGCTGAGTACTAGCCAAATGTTGCTCTCGAGCAAGTACTATGAGGCTCTGCAGCGGATACTTCGATGGCGCATCGCATAACATAAGAGAAAAATTTAAAAATGATTTCGATGATTCGTTTAGCGACATTCGCCCGTTTCGTGCGGCGGCTGGCTTACAATTTACTTGTACGACACACTGACTGTCCCTACTTTGTAGAGGACTACAGGCTGCTTGATCCGAACTATGTACCGAAACTATGATGTGAGACACAACTGAAGTAATATTTCCATACGATGGAGACACATGAATAAGTCTATAAAAAAATGTTACATATGACTATCTTTTTCGTTTCACCCTCAATGATTTAGCTTGTCGCATAAGCTCACGCCAAATGGAACGAGGTAACGTAGACTTTAAAATTCGGAAACCAACGTGGAAAATGCGATCGTTTTTTTGTATATGACGCGATGCACCCGATGGCGAATCGCATAATATAAGGGAAAATTTTTAAAATGTTTTCGATTCTCGAATTGGCTTTAGCGATTTGTGTCAGTTTCGTGTGGTACCTGGCTTGCGGTCTACTTGTACGACAGCGGCAGACTGACCGTCCCTACTTTGTGGAAGACTACATGCTGCTCGATCCCAACTATGTACCGGAACGACGTGAACTCGTTTTTGAGAAAAAATGAAACGCATCCCCGACATGTTTCAAAGCCAGACATCCATAACGTAAAATATTCGACCAGCTATCAAAATGTGTGTGCCACAACAAGCGGCCAATGCTTCGGTATGGCGTCGGACAAGGGTAAAAATTAAAACATGACATCGGATGGTCTTGTTTCGATGCTCACTCAATTCGTCCATTACGTGTGTACGACGGCTGGTGACCAGTTTACTTGGAAGACAGACTGGCTGCTCCCACTTCGTAGATGACACAATGATCACAATCATTAAGTTGGAAATAATTCAAATTTTGTTTCAATTAGGTGTTGTATATCGCTTGGTATCTTGTTATAAGATTTAACACAGAATCTAAAAGAACGACTTACTTTCCCCAATCTCAAAATTGCCTGTCTTAATCTATTCATAAGTCTAGTTTGATAGTGGTGTGGTGTCTGTCCGACACTTCACCAAATAACTAGGTGTTTCCTAACATACATGTATTCATTTAGATTGACATGGAACGGTCAAAACGTTGATCTTCTGACGTGTTAGCTTTGACGGCGCGCTTTTGTAAGATATAGATAGACTCAATGTCAGCACCGTGCCCCTACAGCAAAATGCCATACGACATAATGCTATGAACGTAACTGAAGTGCACTAGTCTTGCCGTGCCTGTCGGTCAACTGTCGGATCTTCCAGACAGTACAAGCAGAGGTCAATCGTCCCGCTAAAGATGTAATGTGAGGACTCCATTGCAATTTGTCGTCTACAGTAATTTCCGGCGGTCATACGCTCGAATACTAAAAGCCTAAGTACTTAATTTTGAGTTGCTGTTAAATATCGTGTCATCTCTGTTATGTTGTGAAATAAATAGGGATTCACAGCTCCTCCCCCGTAGTTGATAGTATGATAATATGTAGCCTATATGTTGATCTGACCTGTTAGTAATATTCATGCAAAATTTGAAGTAAATCCATGCAGTACTTGTTGAGTGCACCCCGGACATACATACAGACAAACAGACAAAAATTCTAAAAACCATATTTTTGGTTTTGGTATTGACTGTAGATCAAGCATAAAGCATTCTTTTAAAAAAATATTCTCTGGTGGTCCAGGTGTCCATGGGCGACGCCGATTGCTTATCATCAGGTGAATCCGTATGGCAGTAACATAATTATATTTTTTTTGGGCTACTTATAAAAAATGTGACTTTGCAACAGAGAATTTACGCTTAATTAATATTTAGACTAGGGTATAAGAAAAAAAACGAAAGTTTAAATAAAAAATATATTTAGTCATTTTGATTACATTCAGCAAATACATAATATTAATTCACTAACATCAATGTACTTAATTCATTAAATACATCACAGAAATTGAAGCATAATTTATTATTAAAAAATAAACCGTAACATTACGCTCTTTCTCACACCAAAGGGATAAGCAGAGATGCACATATTCATATTATAATAATTTTCATCAGTTATTACGTATCTCATGTAATAGGGGTCTACCCTATGCTATAAACATACATTGAGCATATATGGACAGAAATTTCAGAACTCGAAAACTCAAAATTGCCCGAGCAGGTAATCAAATTCAAGACATTGAGTTCAACAGTCGTTATTATGCTATCAACTAACGAAGCAATAATTTTTAACATCAATAAATATACTTTATTTAATAAAATATGATTTTTTTCTCAACACTGACGTCGAACCGACACCTTAGTACATCCACAACCATTTCATAACTTAAGTGAGTGATAAGTTAAGCTTACAACCTATATATAATACACCGTCAAATATATTTCGTATTTGTCCAACTTGCCATAAAGAGTACTGTCGATGTAAAAACAAAAAAAAACTAAAGATAAAGATATTTTTTTTAGTTTTATATATATTCCATGAAACATTCGCATCACATGTGCCACCCGACGAGAATACCTCTTTGAGAATTACATTGCGTGATTTTTTGATAATAATTATGATATGAGTTCGTATGCGCTTTCGAAGTTTGCTTTTGCAATGGTTCACAAGTTATTTTTTGTTTTAATCATTTTATTTCCTTGTATAACTATTGTATTAGCAAGACAGAACCAACAAAGAGATTGATGACAGAGTTTATAATTGACATTGTTTGGAAAAATAAAATATCTGACTTCATATTTGTATTGGATTTCGTTTCGAATTTAATTGAATTATATTGTGAATGTTATTGAATTGGATTATTATTGATTATAATTATGAACAACCATTCCTTTCCTTATTTAAGTGTATGTATCTTCACATTCCCTAAGCAGGCTAAATAGACTATAAGAACAAATAATGTAACATAAAAACCTTTAAATGTAATACTTTACTCTATTTAAATGTGAATAAAACGATTTTGAATTTTGAACCTTATTGCTATTGGACGAAAATGAAATAGATTTCACGGTGTTTAGTATTTTAACAATGGAAGACATCGATCACAATTTAGGTACATATGTACTTAATTTAAATATTACATACAAATGCATAACTTTGACCTTAGAGAATAGGTACTTAATGAAATGTTTCATTACAATAACTATCGTGAGAGATACTAAATTAAGTAAAATCGCGGATTACTCACGTGAATATCACAGAATATTTACGTGAGTAACCTGCGATTTTACTTAATTGTTTCATTACAGTTCAGAAGTTGCTATTTTTCAAAAATTGTGTATTATTTTTTTGTAAATCTCTGTTCTAGAGTATTATTTGAATCATAATTATATGAATATTAAAAACAGTATTATTGTTCACTTATTTTAGATATAAAGTATCTGACGGACACTAATGCATAAAATAATTATTAACGCTTTTTAATTACTATTTTTTTGTAAATAACTTGAGCAAATCGAATAGAAGTGAGCAAGTTAACCTGAGCATTATACTAAAAGCGTAAACTAAATACAATTTGTTCATAATAAAAGCATCTAGTCAACATTATTATCATCAGTTCAGTTGATATAACACTACCCATCCTTCAGTCGGGTAAAAATGAAGCCTCAATACTAATGTTCAAATATCCAAACGCCACTAATTTTAAAGACACCCTCAAAAATATTTCTGTCTCTACAAATTCCTTGTAAAATGACAGAGACAGAGAGATATTTAACCCGTCGAGCGTCCGCGTTCCTTATGATCCAACGGTTGCACACGTGACATTTGGAGCATTTTTTCTTATGATCCACCGGGTGCTCATAAGGACGCTCGAGGGGTTAAGTAAAACTTTAAATTGAGTAACGTGTCAGTATTCAGTGTGTCTACTGCAGTATCTGGCAGGGTGGGACTACGCCCCCCAGGGCTTCCCCGAGGTGCTCCGCCACGGCCGCGCACAGCGCCTCCTGGCGGGGCGCCGCCACTACTTGGATACCCACTGGTACCTTGTCACTGTTCAGGCCTAGAGGTACCTGTAACGATAGTAAGTTTTGGTTAAATAATGTAATAGTAATGAAGGCTAATGTGTTTTTTACTCATCAGATGGGACAAATGCAACAAGAAGGTTTTTTCCAGTCATAAATTGAATGAATTTTTTTTATGGTATAAGCCGGTAAACGATCAGTCGGATCACCTGATGGTAAGCAATCGGCGTCGCCCATGGACACCTGGAACACCAGAGGCGTTACAAGTGCGTTACCGGCCTTTTGAGAATTGGGAATTTGCTCCCTTTCCCCAATCTCCCCAACGATCCTCAAACTCCTAATCCCCAAATGCTTGTAACGCCTCTGGTGTTCCAGGTGTCCATGGGCGGTGCCGATAGCTTACCATCAGGTGACCCGTCTGCTCGTTTACCGGCTTATGTTATTAAAAAAAAAACTGAAATAGTGGATTTTTATTACCTATACAAGATAGTTTTATTTTTATATATTTGATGTGCCGACATTTGGCCACTATCTCGCCTGGTGGTAAGCGATGATACGGTCTCCGATGGAGCATGTCGTCCCATTAGCAATCTATTCGCTTGCAGATAGTAAAATAATGCATGAATTGCATTATAATACATACCTGTGCAGCAGGGAAGTGCAGTGCGTTGAAGATGGCCCAGTAAGCGAAGTTGAAGGGGCGCACTATGGGGGAGTAGTGGTAAGGGGCCACTAGTGGACTACTGGGGAACAGGAGGACTCCGTCATCGCCCAGCAACTTCTGTAATGGTGTAACAAACATGTGTGGTTAGTAGGGAATTTAGATAAGGTAATTGGGATGATGACAGGGTATGATAATTAAAAATATAATTAGTCCGTAAGTTAGGTAATGAAAAAATATCAAACTTAATGAACATATCAAATATGATGAACACACTATACATAGATGCATTAAAGTGATAAGGATTAATAATACATGACAATTAATCACTGAAAGAAAGCGAAAGAAGTATGAAGGAATCGTAGTAATTAGCGTTTCATAGTCTCTGCCTACCCAATTGGGAGAAGTTGTGTATGTAATAACTGAAAATAAAATTGCAAGCAAAAAATAAAATATGCATCTAATTAAAAAAAAATAATAGAAAAATACCACAAAACTTTCAACTCTGAAACACAAAGCGACATGAATCACCTACTAGATATACTTAAACATTGATTGATTAACAATGTATTACTTTACTCACAATAAGATCATCAGTAAACTCCTTGGTGAGTTGTTCAGCCCACTCCTTGTTGACAGGAGGCATCACCTGGTCGTCCGCCAACTTCATTATCGCGGGCAGAGTGTACTCAGACATACCCAGTAACTGAAATAGCGTAAAGATAGATTGTGAGAGTGTTCATGTAAATACGTAGTTATCATTATTGAGTTATATGTATGTAGTGTGTTACTTATTTGAGGCAAAAATTAAATATTTAAATATATTTATGAAGAATCATGTTTCGGAACGAATGAGACGGCTCAACTGGACTGACACAGTGATGCCAACCCTTCAGTTTTAACTGTAGATCTACAGTTTTTAGGAGATTCTCTCAGTTTTTAATTTAAGCCTCGAAATCTACAGTTTTCTACAGTTTTTATGCAAGATGCTAGCGTCATCTATTTTATTTGTCTGTACACTAAGTCAGCTTCAGGTAAACCTGCTACTATCGCACCGAAAGTAATGGTTAGATGATATTATATTTAAGATATATAAATTTTGATAAGACTGATACGCCTAATGTAGAGGAATTTTGGTGGAATGTTTCCAAATTAAAAAAAGGCGACGGTTCTGCAATGTTTCCACTATTATCGACTTTAACCAGAAAGCTTCTATGTTTGCCTCACAGTACCGCTACGGTAGAACGTTTGTTTTCGAGCATTTATGTTATGAAAACCAAACTAAGAAATAAACTTTCTACGACCACAATAAAAGGTACCTTGCACACAAAGTCAGAAATTAATAATTGTTTCGAGTTCAATGTGACAAATGACCATTTTAAAAAATTAAATAAAAATATGTACGAATTCAATAAAAATAAAAATGAAACGGAAAATCAGGAAGACTTAGAAATTGAAAATAACATAGTAGCTAGTAATACTTGAAATGTTACGACATTTAATTTGATTAAAATTTTGATAATTATACGAGTTTTCTTATTTTTAATCCCTCCACCAACCCTCCATATAATGTATTCCATTCATACAATTATACAAAATATAATATAAGATAAAACTGTAGATTTACTGTTTTTTAATTTTATATTTACAGTTTTCTACAGTTTTTTTCAAGCAAATCTACAGTTTTACTCTATGCTGTGGTTGGCAACACTGGACTGACACCACGACCTCATATAAATAAGGCGTGAAACAACGGTTATGTTGTATTTTGCACAGAGTGAGTTAAATCCCTAAAGATTACTGTAGAAAACTCCAAGGTGGTAAACTAATTTAAAGCAGTCGAGTAGAATTAATAGCGTGTAATCCGAACAATGACAAAACACAGATTGATGAGAGGTTACAGAATACAATAATATTAACTACAAATACGCCTAACGTGCGCTCGTTCGCGTCATTCGTTCGCCAGTCGAGTGTAATTGCCTTTATAAAGCAGTAGGCGCTTCGACAATTACCAATCCTCTGGTGATACTGGTGTAAATAGGTGACGTTGATTACTCAACCAGCGCTTACCACCATTAAAAATTATATTAACTGAGTTGAGTGACCTATAGCATAAGAAAATTAACGGCACGGTATTATTGAACACACAACATTATTGACCGCACAACGTATCGCGGGTTCGATTCCCGCACGGAGTAACTCTTTGTGTAATCCACAAATTGTTGTTTCGGGTCCGGGTGTCATGTATATGTGAACTTTTATATGTTTGTAAATACACCCACGACAAGGAGAAAATCCTAGTGTAGGACAAGGTTTAAAAAAAATTAGTTCAAAATTAGTATGTAGGTTAGTAGGTAGCGTAAACCTTACCTTCTTAGGAAACTCCTTCCAGAACTTAGCAGTGCCTGTGTTGTTGGTGAGTAGTTCAGCGAAAACATCCTCCTCGTGCGTCATCCAGTACCTCCACAGAACCAACATGTGGTTGAAGCCGCGGTGGTAGTACGGCTTGGGAGCGTTGTCCGTTGACGATACGTCCTCTGTTACCTTTGTGATGGCCCTGGAAATGTAGATAGATTTAAATTAAAATAAACATTACTTATATTTATTATAACTTATTTATTATAAATTAATTATAACTGTTTGACGACCGTTACGTGAAAAAGCCGAAAAAAAAATAAAAAAAAATAAAATAAAATTGTTATCCTAAGTCACCGATCACATCAATTTTAGCGCTCGCATATTAATAGAGCGCACTCGCGACGCCCATTATCGGGAGTCGCGTCATATGACGAGTCATAATAATGAGTTAATGACTCACATTGATATCGTGAAGTGAACGCATAAGAGATAAGGCAATAATGTGTAATCTATGCAAATGGCGAGCGAACCATTTGAACAATATTTTGTATTATATGCTATTGAACTCACCACGATTTCAAAAAATTTAAATAAGCATATTTATTTTAACGCCAAAATATGCAAGCATGCATGTAATGCAAACGAGACGAACATATCAAATTGTGAAAAACAGTAATAAGTATCGAACGTTTGGACGCACGTTTGGTTTTAATTCACAAAATGCCCAAGTTGAACACGCAATGATATTATTTTACAAGTACTACGAGGGCCTACCTCGGGCAGATACTTCGATGGCGCATTGCATACTATAAAAGAAAATTTTAAAAATGATTTCAATGCATCACGTCATAACGTGAGCAGTTTACTTGGAGGTCAGACTAGTTGCCCCCACTTCGGAGATGGCCACAGCCAGCATGAACCGATGCAACACCCAATGCGACTTCTTTAGTATAAGACTCAAATGAAACTGAATAAACAAATTAATTCTATACTTTAGTTGTCTCTTTTGCCAAAACTCCTGTTAGCATAGGCTGCCAGAGCTCACCGCAGCCTAAAAGTCAAAGAAAACTAAAATTAAGCTGAGTACTAGCCAAATGTTGCTCTCGAGCAAGTACTATGAGGCTCTGCAGCGGATACTTCGATGGCGCATCGCATAACATAAGAGAAAAATTTAAAAATGATTTCGATGCTTCGTTTAGCGACATTCGCCCGTTTCGTGCGGCGGCTGGCTTACAATTTACTTGTACGACACACTGACTGTCCCTACTTTGTAGAGGACTACAGGCTGCTTGATCCGAACTATGTACCGAAACTATGATGTGAGACACAACTGAAGTAATATTTCCATACGATGGAGACACATGAATAAGTCTATAAAAAAATGTTACATATGACTATCTTTTTCGTTTCAGCCTCAATGATTTAGCTTGTCGCATAAGCTCACGCCAAATGGAACAAGGTAACGTAGACTTTAAAATTCGGCAACCAACGTGGAAAATGCGATCGTTTTTTTGTATATGACGCGATGCACCCGATGGCGAATCGCATAACATAAGGGAAAATTTTTAAAATGTTTTCGATTCTCGAATTGGCTTTAGCGATTTGTGTCAGTTTCGTGTGGTACCTGGCTTGCGGTCTACTTGTACGACAGCGGCAGACTGACCGTCCCTACTTTGTGGAGGACTACATGCTGCTCGATCCCAACTATGTACCGAAACGATGTGAACTCGTTTTTAAGAAAAAATGAAACGCATCCCCGACATGTTTCAAAGCCAGACATCCATAACGTAAAATATTCGACCAGCTATCAAAATGTGTGTGCCACAACAAGCGGCCAATGCTTCGGTATGGCGTCGGACAATGGTAAAAATTAAAACATGACATCGGATGGTCTCGTTCCGATGCTCACTCAATTCGTCCATTACGTGTGTACGACGGCTGGTGACCAGTTTACTTGCGAGGACAGACCGGCTGCTCCCACTTCGTAGATGACCACAGCCAGCATGAACCGACGCTACGCCCAATGCGACTTCTTTAGTATAAGACTCAAATGAAACTGAATAAACAAATTAATTCTATACTTTAGTTGTCTCTTTTGCCAAAACTCCTGTTAGCATAGGCTGCCAGAGCTCACCGCAGCCTACAAGTCAAAGAAAACTAAAATTAAGCTGAGTACTAGCCAAATGTTGCTCTCGAGCAAGTACTATGAGGCTCTGCAGCGGATACTTCGATGGCGCATCGCATAACATAAGAGAAAAATTTAAAAATGATTTCGATGCTTCGTTTAGCGACATTCGCCCGTTTCGTGCGGCGGCTGGCTTACAATTTACTTGTACGACACACTGACTGTCCCTACTTTGTAGAGGACTACAGGCTGCTTGATCCGAACTATGTACCGAAACTATGATGTGAGACACAACTGAAGTAATATTTCCATACGATGGAGACACATGAATAAGTCTATAAAAAAATGTTACATATGACTATCTTTTTCGTTTCACCCTCAATGATTTAGCTTGTCGCATAAGCTCACGCCAAATGGAACAAGGTAACGTAGACTTTAAAATTCGGCAACCGACGTGGAAAATGCGATCGGTTTTTTGTATATGACGCGATGCACCCGATGGCGAGTCGCATAATATAAGGGAAAATTTTTAAAATGTTTTCGATTCTCGAATTGGCTTTAGCGATTTGTGTCAGTTTCGTGTGGTACCTGGCTTGCGGTCTACTTGTACGACAGCGGCAGACTGACCGTCCCTACTTTGTGGAGGACTACATGCTGCTCGATCCCAACTATGTACCGAAACGATGTGAACTCGTTTTTAAGAAAAAATGAAACGCATCCCCGACATGTTTCAAAGCCAGACATCCATAACGTAAAATATTCGACCAGCTATCAAAATGTGTGTGCCACAACAAGCGGCCAATGCTTCGGTATGGCGTCGGACAATGGTAAAAATTAAAACATGACATCGGATGGTCTCGTTCCGATGCTCACTCAATTCGTCCATTACGTGTGTACGACGGCTGGTGACCAGTTTACTTGCGAGGACAGACCGGCTGCTCCCACTTCGTAGATGACCACAGCCAGCATGAACCGACGCTACGCCCAATGCGACTTCTTTAGTATAAGACTCAAATGAAACTGAATAAACAAATTAATTCTATACTTTAGTTGTCTCTTTTGCCAAAACTCCTGTTAGCATAGGCTGCCAGAGCTCACCGCAGCCTACAAGTCAAAGAAAACTAAAATTAAGCTGAGTACTAGCCAAATGTTGCTCTCGAGCAAGTACTATGAGGCTCTGCAGCGGATACTTCGATGGCGCATCGCATAACATAAGAGAAAAATTTAAAAATGATTTCGATGCTTCGTTTAGCGACATTCGCCCGTTTCGTGCGGCGGCTGGCTTACAATTTACTTGTACGACACACTGACTGTCCCTACTTTGTAGAGGACTACAGGCTGCTTGATCCGAACTATGTACCGAAACTATGATGTGAGACACAACTGAAGTAATATTTCCATACGATGGAGACACATGAATAAGTCTATAAAAAAATGTTACATATGACTATCTTTTTCGTTTCACCCTCAATGATTTAGCTTGTCGCATAAGCTCACGCCAAATGGAACAAGGTAACGTAGACTTTAAAATTCGGCAACCGACGTGGAAAATGCGATCGTTTTTTTGTATATGACGCGATGCACCCGATGGCGAGTCGCATAATATAAGGGAAAATTTTTAAAATGTTTTCGATTCTCGAATTGGCTTTAGCGATTTGTGTCAGTTTCGTGTGGTACCTGGCTTGCGGTCTACTTGTACGACAGCGGCAGACTGACCGTCCCTACTTTATGGAGGACTACATGCTGCTCGATCCCAACTATGTACCGAAACGATGTGAACTCGTTTTTAAGAAAAAATGAAACGCATCCCCGACATGTTTCAAAGCCAGACATCCATAACGTAAAATATTCGACCAGCTATCAAAATGTGTGTGCCACAACAAGCGGCCAATGCTTCGGTATGGCGTCGGACAATGGTAAAAATTAAAACATGACATCGGATGGTCTCGTTCCGATGCTCACTCAATTCGTCCATTACGTGTGTACGACGGCTGGTGACCAGTTTACTAGCGAGGACAGACCGGCTGCTCCCACTTCGTAGATGACCACAGCCAGCATGAACCGATGCTACGCCCAATGCGACTTCTTTAGTATAAGACTCAAATGAAACTGAATAAACAAATTAATTCTATACTTTAGTTGTCTCTTTTGCCAAAACTCCTGTTAGCATAGGCTGCCAGAGCTCACCGCAGCCTACAAGTCAAAGAAAACTAAAATTAAGCTGAGTACTAGCCAAATGTTGCTCTCGAGCAAGTACTATGAGGCTCTGCAGCGGATACTTCGATGGCGCATCGCATAACATAAGAGAAAAATTTAAAAATGATTTCGATGCTTCGTTTAGCGACATTCGCCCGTTTCGTGCGGCGGCTGGCTTACAATTTACTTGTACGACACACTGACTGTCCCTACTTTGTAGAGGACTACAGGCTGCTTGATCCGAACTATGTACCGAAACTATGATGTGAGACACAACTGAAGTAATATTTCCATACGATGGAGACACATGAATAAGTCTATAAAAAAATGTTACATATGACTATCTTTTTCGTTTCACCCTCAATGATTTAGCTTGTCGCATAAGCTCACGCCAAATGGAACAAGGTAACGTAGACTTTAAAATTCGGCAACCGACGTGGAAAATGCGATCGTTTTTTTGTATATGACGCGATGCACCCGATGGCGAGTCGCATAATATAAGGGAAAATTTTTAAAATGTTTTCGATTCTCGAATTGGCTTTAGCGATTTGTGTCAGTTTCGTGTGGTACCTGGCTTGCGGTCTACTTGTACGACAGCGGCAGACTGACCGTCCCTACTTTGTGGAGGACTACATGCTGCTCGATCCCAACTATGTACCGAAACGATGTGAACTCGTTTTTAAGAAAAAATGAATCGCATCCCCGACATGTTTCAAAGCCAGACATCCATAACGTAAAATATTCGACCAGCTATCAAAATGTGTGTGCCACAACAAGCGGCCAATGCTTCGGTATGGCGTCGGACAATGGTAAAAATTAAAACATGACATCGGATGGTCTCGTTCCGATGCTCACTCAATTCGTCCATTACGTGTGTACGACGGCTGGTGACCAGTTTACTTGCGAGGACAGACCGGCTGCTCCCACTTCGTAGATGACCACAGCCAGCATGAACCGACGCTACGCCCAATGCGACTTCTTTAGTATAAGACTCAAATGAAACTGAATAAACAAATTAATTCTATACTTTAGTTGTCTCTTTTGCCAAAACTCCTGTTAGCATAGGCTGCCAGAGCTCACCGCAGCCTACAAGTCAAAGAAAACTAAAATTAAGCTGAGTACTAGCCAAATGTTGCTCTCGAGCAAGTACTCTGAGGCTCTGCAGCGGATACTTCGATGGCGCATCGCATAACATAAGAGAAAAATTTAAAAATGATTTCGATGCTTCGTTTAGCGACATTCGCCCGTTTCGTGCGGCGGCTGGCTTACAATTTACTTGTACGACACACTGACTGTCCCTACTTTGTAGAGGACTACAGGCTGCTTGATCCGAACTATGTACCGAAACTATGATGTGAGACACAACTGAAGTAATATTTCCATACGATGGAGACACATGAATAAGTCTATAAAAAAATGTTACATATGACTATCTTTTTCGTTTCACCCTCAATGATTTAGCTTGTCGCATAAGCTCACGCCAAATGGAACAAGGTAACGTAGACTTTAAAATTCGGCAACCGACGTGGAAAATGCGATCGGTTTTTTGTATATGACGCGATGCACCCGATGGCGAGTCGCATAATATAAGGGAAAATTTTTAAAATGTTTTCGATTCTCGAATTGGCTTTAGCGATTTGTGTCAGTTTCGTGTGGTACCTGGCTTGCGGTCTACTTGTACGACAGCGGCAGACTGACCGTCCCTACTTTATGGAGGACTACATGCTGCTCGATCCCAACTATGTACCGAAACGATGTGAACTCGTTTTTAAGAAAAAATGAAACGCATCCCCGACATGTTTCAAAGCCAGACATCCATAACGTAAAATATTCGACCAGCTATCAAAATGTGTGTGCCACAACAAGCGGCCAATGCTTCGGTATGGCGTCGGACAATGGTAAAAATTAAAACATGACATCGGATGGTCTCGTTCCGATGCTCACTCAATTCGTCCATTACGTGTGTACGACGGCTGGTGACCAGTTTACTTGCGAGGACAGACCGGCTGCTCCCACTTCGTAGATGACCACAGCCAGCATGAACCGACGCTACGCCCAATGCGACTTCTTTAGTATAAGACTCAAATGAAACTGAATAAACAAATTAATTCTATACTTTAGTTGTCTCTTTTGCCAAAACTCCTGTTAGCATAGGCTGCCAGAGCTCACCGCAGCCTACAAGTCAAAGAAAACTAAAATTAAGCTGAGTACTAGCCAAATGTTGCTCTCGAGCAAGTACTATGAGGCTCTGCAGCGGATACTTCGATGGCGCATCGCATAACATAAGAGAAAAATTTAAAAATGATTTCGATGCTTCGTTTAGCGACATTCGCCCGTTTCGTGCGGCGGCTGGCTTACAATTTACTTGTACGACACACTGACTGTCCCTACTTTGTAGAGGACTACAGGCTGCTTGATCCGAACTATGTACCGAAACTATGATGTGAGACACAACTGAAGTAATATTTCCATACGATGGAGACACATGAATAAGTCTATAAAAAAATGTTACATATGACTATCTTTTTCGTTTCACCCTCAATGATTTAGCTTGTCGCATAAGCTCACGCCAAATGGAACAAGGTAACGTAGACTTTAAAATTCGGCAACCGACGTGGAAAATGCGATCGGTTTTTTTATATGACGCGATGCACCCGATGGCGAGTCGCATAATATAAGGGAAAATTTTTAAAATGTTTTCGATTCTCGAATTGGCTTTAGCGATTTGTGTCAGTTTCGTGTGGTACCTGGCTTGCGGTCTACTTGTACGACAGCGGCAGACTGACCGTCCCTACTTTGTGGAGGACTACATGCTGCTCGATCCCAACTATGTACCGAAACGATGTGAACTCGTTTTTAAGAAAAAATGAAACGCATCCCCGACATGTTTCAAAGCCAGACATCCATAACGTAAAATATTCGACCAGCTATCAAAATGTGTGTGCCACAACAAGCGGCCAATGCTTCGGTATGGCGTCGGACAATGGTAAAAATTAAAACATGACATCGGATGGTCTCGTTCCGATGCTCACTCAATTCGTCCATTACGTGTGTACGACGGCTGGTGACCAGTTTACTTGCGAGGACAGACCGGCTGCTCCCACTTCGTAGATGACCACAGCCAGCATGAACCGACGCTACGCCCAATGCGACTTCTTTAGTATAAGACTCAAATGAAACTGAATAAACAAATTAATTCTATACTTTAGTTGTCTCTTTTGCCAAAACTCCTGTTAGCATAGGCTGCCAGAGCTCACCGCAGCCTACAAGTCAAAGAAAACTAAAATTAAGCTGAGTACTAGCCAAATGTTGCTCTCGAGCAAGTACTATGAGGCTCTGCAGCGGATACTTCGATGGCGCATCGCATAACATAAGAGAAAAATTTAAAAATGATTTCGATGCTTCGTTTAGCGACATTCGCCCGTTTCGTGCGGCGGCTGGCTTACAATTTACTTGTACAACACACTGACTGTCCCTACTTTGTAGAGGACTACAGGCTGCTTGATCCGAACTATGTACCGAAACTATGATGTGAGACACAACTGAAGTAATATTTCCATACGATGGAGACACATGAATAAGTCTATAAAAAAATGTTACATATGACTATCTTTTTCGTTTCACCCTCAATGATTTAGCTTGTCGCATAAGGGCACGCCAAATGGAACGAGGTAACGTAGACTTTAAAATTCGGCAACCGACGTGGAAAATGCGATCGTTTTTTTGTATATGACGCGATGCACCCGATTGTGAGTCGCATAATATAAGGGAAAATTTTTAAAATGTTTTCGATTCTCGAATTGGCTTTAGCGATTTGTGTCAGTTTCGTGTGGTACCTGGCTTGCGGTCTACTTGTACGACAGCGGCAGACTGACCGTCCCTACTTTGTGGAGGACTACATGCTGCTCGATCCCAACTATGTACCGAAACGATGTGAACTCGTTTTTAAGAAAAAATGAATCGCATCCCCGACATGTTTCAAAGCCAGACATCCATAACGTAAAATATTCGACCAGCTATCAAAATGTGTGTGCCACAACAAGCGGCCAATGCTTCGGTATGGCGTCGGACAATGGTAAAAATTAAAACATGACATCGGATGGTCTCGTTCCGATGCTCACTCAATTCGTCCATTACGTGTGTACGACGGCTGGTGACCAGTTTACTTGCGAGGACAGACCGGCTGCTCCCACTTCGTAGATGACCACAGCCAGCATGAACCGACGCTACGCCCAATGCGACTTCTTTAGTATAAGACTCAAATGAAACTGAATAAACAAATTAATTCTATACTTTAGTTGTCTCTTTTGCCAAAACTCCTGTTAGCATAGGCTGCCAGAGCTCACCGCAGCCTACAAGTCAAAGAAAACTAAAATTAAGCTGAGTACTAGCCAAATGTTGCTCTCGAGCAAGTACTATGAGGCTCTGCAGCGGATACTTCGATGGCGCATCGCATAACATAAGAGAAAAATTTAAAAATGATTTCGATGCTTCGTTTAGCGACATTCGCCCGTTTCGTGCGGCGGCTGGCTTACAATTTACTTGTACGACACACTGACTGTCCCTACTTTGTAGAGGACTACAGGCTGCTTGATCCGAACTATGTACCGAAACTATGATGTGAGACACAACTGAAGTAATATTTCCATACGATGGAGACACATGAATAAGTCTATAAAAAAATGTTACATATGACTATCTTTTTCGTTTCACCCTCAATGATTTAGCTTGTCGCATAAGCTCACGCCAAATGGAACAAGGTAACGTAGACTTTAAAATTCGGCAACCGACGTGGAAAATGCGATCGGTTTTTTGTATATGACGCGATGCACCCGATGGCGAGTCGCATAATATAAGGGAAAATTTTTAAAATGTTTTCGATTCTCGAATTGGCTTTAGCGATTTGTGTCAGTTTCGTGTGGTACCTGGCTTGCGGTCTACTTGTACGACAGCGCAGACTGACCGTCCCTAACTTTGTGGAGGACTACATGCTGCTCGATCCCAACTATGTACCGAAACGATGTGAACTCGTTTTTAAGAAAAAATGAAACGCATCCCCGACATGTTTCAAAGCCAGACATCCATAACGTAAAATATTCGACCAGCTATCAAATGTGTGTGCCAACAAGCGGCCAATGCTTCGGTATGGCGTCGGACAATGGTAAAAATTAAAACATGACATCGGATGGTCTCGTTCCGATGCTCACTCAATTCGTCCATTACGTGTGTACGACGGCTGGTGACCAGTTTACTTGCGAGGACAGACCGGCTGCTCCCACTTCGTAGAGTCAGATGACCACAGCCAGCATGAACCGACGCTACGCCCAATGCGACTTCTTTAGTATAAGACTCAAATGAAACTGAATAAACAAATTAATTCTATACTTTAGTTGTCTCTTTGCCAAAACTCCTGTTAGCATAGGCTGCCAGAGCTCACCGCAGCCTACAAGTCAAAGAAAACTAAAATTAAGCTGAGTACTAGCCAAATGTTGCTCTCGAGCAAGTACTATGAGGCTCTGCAGCGGATACTTCGATGGCGCATCGCATCACATAAGAGAAAAAATTTAAAAATGATTTCGATGCTTCGTTTAGCGACATTCGCCCGTTTCGTGCGGCGGCTGGCTTACAATTTACTTGTACGACACACTGACTGTCCCTACTTTGTAGAGGACTACAGGCTGCTTGATCCGAACTATGTACCGAAACTATGATGTGAGACACAACTGAAGTAATATTTCCATACGATGGAGACACATGAATAAGTCTATAAAAAAATGTTACATATGACTATCTTTTTCGTTTCACCCTCAATGATTTAGCTTGTCGCATAAGCTCACGCCAAATGGAACAAGGTAACGTAGACTTTAAAATTCGGCAACCGACGTGGAAAATGCGATCGTTTTTTTGTATGATTTCGATGCTTCGTTTAGCGACATTCGCCCGTTTCGTGCGGCGGCTGGCTTACAATTTACTTGTACGACACACTGACTGTCCCTACTTTGTAGAGGACTACAGGCTGCTTGATCCGAACTATGTACCGAAACTATGATGTGAGACACAACTGAAGTAATATTTCCATACGATGGAGACACATGAATAGTCTATAAAAAAATGTTACATATGACTATCTTTTTCGTTTCACCCTCATGATTTAGCTTCGCATAAGCTCACGCCAAATGGAACAAGGTAACGTAGACTTTAAAATTCGGCAACCGACGTGGAAAATGCGATCGTTTTTTTGTATATGACGCGATGCACCCGATGGCGAGTCGCATAATATAAGGGAAAATTTTTAAAATGTTTTCGATTCTCGAATTGGCTTTAGCGATTTGTGTCAGTTTCGTGTGGTACCTGGCTTGCGGTCTACTTGTACGACAGCGGCAGACTGACCGTCCCTACTTTATGGAGGACTACATGCTGCTCGATCCCAACTATGTACCGAAACGATGTGAACTCGTTTTTAAGAAAAAATGAAACGCATCCCCGACATGTTTCAAAGCCAGACATCCATAACGTAAAATATTCGACCAGCTATCAAAATGTGTGTGCCACAACAAGCGGCCAATGCTTCGGTATGGCGTCGGACAATGGTAAAAATTAAAACATGACATCGGATGGTCTCGTTCCGATGCTCACTCAATTTCGTCCATTACGTGTGTACGACGGCTGGTGACCAGTTTACTTGCGAGGACAGACCGGCTCCCACTTCGTAGATGACCACAGCCAGCATGAACCGACGCTACGCCCAATGCGACTTCTTTAGTATAAGACTCAAATGAAACTGAATAAACAAATTAATTCTATACTTTAGTTGTCTCTTTTGCCAAAAACTCCTGTTAGCATAGGCTGCCAGAGCTCACCGCAGCCTACAAGTCAAAGAAACTAAAATTAAGCTGAGTACTAGCCAAATGTTGCTCTCGAGCAAGTACTATGAGGCTCTGCAGCGGATACTTCGATGGCGCATCGCATAACATAAGAGAAAAATTTAAAAATGATTTCGATGCTTCGTTTAGCGACATTCGCCCGTTTCGTGCGGCGGC